GCAATAACCCAGAAGACAGAAATCTTCATATTCACCGCTGTGAGAACCTCAAGTCTTACAATTTTAAACAACATTATTTTAAGTTTGTGTATGGACGGAAAATAAAATATTGTAAAAATATTTCGTGATACTAACATAGTCCCATTACAATGCGTTTAGAAAAGTGTCTGTCTCAACAATTCTGCTGCAAGTGTTCGTTACGCAAACGATAACTTACACTTTAGTTAGATTCCAGACGTAATATTTCCAAAATATAAAATGATGCAGTCCAAAAGTTCACTTAATTATTCTCAGATAACATTTTACATAAACAGTAATTTTTGGCCATTGAATACAAGTTGTAGTCTATAACCTCACGTCAAATGCAATTCAAGAATTATAATTATAATTTTAAGTGCTGGGAAATATGAAATGGTCAATAAAAATTGTTACTGAATAACAGGGAATCGAACATTGTTACATGCCCTTATGCAACACGTCCTGGTCCACATATGAAACAAATTATAATTATCAGAAATGCTACAGTTAAAATAATGACAGTAATGTTATAATTACGAGTTGAAGTTCATTTAAATTAATTTCCCTTCAATTTATGTACATTTCTTGGGGTATTTTGTACATATTATTTTACAGAGTAATTTAAACTTTAACATAATTTCTTAATTAATGATGACATTCAGAATTAATACGCACCTTCTTAGCCAGTTGTAAAATGTCCCCAGGACATTTTGTAGAGCCGCTGCAATGTTTATTACAATTATTGCATTTGCCCTTATAGTAGATCATGTCTCCGAGGTACATGGCCAAGTTACTTAGAGTTGAAGTGTCTGCGTTCGGGTATGTTCTACAAGAGAATGTTATTGAAACTTGGAAATTATTATGTCGGAATAAGAAAACGGTGGTCATTATGACATCGAAAACGACGATAATATACATTAAGAGTCATTTTTAATGGGCATGTGAATTATACGAGGGTAGGTGGGCTGAAATGTAATGTACCCTCTTAAATAATACGTGAATTGGAAAGAATTTTTAATGAAACAAAAACATATACAAAGTTTAGAGTTTAATCTTCAAAATTATACATTATTTTTCTACACAGCTACCGTCCACTTCAACACACTTAAGCCAACGATAAAATATTTTTTAAATCCGTCCTTGAACTGAGTTTTGTTTGCGAAACAATTTTATCATAGTAGACTTCGAGCACTGGTGTGATGTCTGGCGTTGTTATGTTGGAGAACTGCGTGGTTTTAGTTCCGAGATCTTCTTAATATTTTCTTAATCTTATCTATGCATTCAATAGAACGTCCAGAATTGATTTGCCTTCCGTTTCATAAAGTCATTACGACATTAACATCCCGAAATGCAGTCAACATCACCACCTAATTTTCGAGTGATTCATATATTAATAAGTAGGACATATTAGAGTGTTTAAGTTGTTATAAAATTTAATTATTATTAAGGGAATTTAGGCAAATGTGAACAATGTAGAAAAAGTACAATTAGTTTTTCTTACATCTCTGACCTAGTGGAATTTTATGGAATGCTGTTGGCAGCTCCGATTAATCATTGGGGCTAAGTTGAAATGAGGGCTGTGTTTTTAATTGTTTATTTTTTTCATAAATTTGGTTTGAAACTTATTTAATTAATTGTGGGCTTTGTTTTGGTTTTTTTATATTTAACTTACAGAACAAAGAACTCGTGCAATTTTTAATGAAAAATTAATAACGGATATCAAGTTTGATGCCATGTTTATAACTTTGGCTATAAATATGTGATTGATTCAAATTGAGGCAACATTTGAAGCACAAACCTCTCTGCCAGTTCCCATATCTTGTGTCTGTTATATTTCTCGCAAACAGTGACCGCTGGAAACCCCGTATTCCAGCCCAGATAAGTTGTTTCTGGAACGAAGCTCACAGAACGTTGCTGGAATGCTTCCATGGTTGCTTTACACACGCAGTAGCAGCCATAAACAGAGACGCTGCATACAGCCAGCCAAAATACCCTTCAATATTGGCAGAAAAATATCACATGTCATTATTTTCTAGTATATCCATCTGAGATACTTTAAAAATACTATATTTTTGTAGATAAACAGCCTTGTGCAAATAGTAGTCACTCAAATAGTGAAGAAATTTCTGAATTTTGTGTGGAACCTCTAGGTCCATTGACGTCATTACAAAACTGGTCTCTATTCTGAACTAGATTTATTCTACACCCTTGAATCTATTTTATCTTGGTCCACTTTAATATTATACTCCTATCTACGTGTAGGTTTCCGAAATATTCGAATTTTTTTAAAGTTTTTCCACAAAAATTTTGTATTTGTCATCTCGTCCATTCATGCTACATGACCATCCTTTCTAATCCTGCTAGCTTACTGTTGTGGAAAAATGTAGGGACTTTGTAAGAATATTAGTTCGTCTCACACACAATAAAGTAATTTAATAAAATTTCAAGTTATTTGGGGTATTGTCCGTCAACTTTGTTTTGTGTTATAACCCACAAAGTTTCCGAGACTGGATGTCTTCGTCAACAGGTGAAGTTAGACAGAAGGGCGCCTATTTTTTTTTTTTTTTGGGGGGGGGGTCCTCTTAGAGCTAGTCTTTATCATTGGACCCAGTGTAAGATACCCACGAAATTAGGCACCTCTCTGTCTACCGTCATTTGTTGACAGAGTTTTTCTTCGTAACGTGAATTTTTAACAAATAACCAAGAAGATTTATCACGTACAAAATAACAGTCGAGGTTATTGTTAATTAGCTAAGTAAAATAACTACTTTGCTGTGTGTAAGAAGGAATGATAAGTTTATATACTTCCTTCAATTAATATAGCAGATCTTCTAAGCAGAATGTATAAAATTTGAGATCACGGAACACTTCATATTTATTCCTTATCTCACTTATGATAGACCCGAAACTTTGCTCGTGTGATGAATATTATACGACACTGAAGTCTGAATCTTACTTTAAGCCGTAAGTCTACTCTGCCGAGAATTTAATTTAAATAAATTTAAACCTTATTTGATACAGCGTATGGTATAATATATATTTATATTAAAATAAAAATACTTAATATTATGAAAATTATTTGTTTTATTAAATTTAATTGCCGTTACGTTATTAAATAAAGATATGGAGTAACAACATTTTACAGATCTCATTTTAAAATGAGAACAAATGAGATCTATAAATTGTTATTATTCAAATCATTCTAATTTATTTAATTTGGCGTTGATTTTGTTTTGATTTGGAAAAATACTTTTATTTTCCAATATTTTCACTGTATACCTATCTTTGGGAGTTAAATGGTAAAGCCATCCACTATGTCCCGTTTACAGAAGCCAGGAAGGTCACAGAGAATATTTGGAGGCATAGTTTACAGATCAACAAAAGAACTTAATCTTACCTTTCCATCCAGTGTCTTCCAGGCTGAGTGAGGTACTTTAAACCGTGAATTGATGTATTGTCTAAATAGTCTTTAATGATTAACCACAATATTGGCAGATTGAAATACTTCATTTTTAATTTATCAAAGTACCAACTTCATTTCGACTAAATTAGGCGGTTTATGACGTTCGTGTGTGATTTGTAACAGACTCTACATTCTGTAGTCGAGAAGCTATGAACATTAAGAATAAATACAGTTCCACGCATGCGTATATTGCAGGTTAAACATGGAATAGATCAGGTGATAACTGTATAATGTTTAATATTGATTATCGATTGACCGGACAGAAATAATTCCAGCTCTATTGTGCATGGCAGTGAGTACAAAGTTACAAAGATCAATAGATGTAATAGACATTTGGTTTGGCTGTTATATTGCTGGTTTCCGATCGTTCTACTAATTGGCTACGTAAATTATGTTTACTTTGTAGCATGTCTTCATTAGTATTTATTGTATACGTCTAAGAAGTTAATATATATGATCACATAAAAAAATAGATTATATAAGTTAGAATCCAAACATAAAATAATTAACAGCCATTATTTTGAACATGAAGGCGAGAAAAGTCGGGCAGTTTGAAACCTGCTGCATTCATCTGCAAGTACTTCCCGAAAGTATTTATTAAATTAAAATACTAGCCAATTTATGATTAGTTTCTACATGTTTTTTGGTGAATCTGGTGCTTTCTATACTAGAACGGCTGATTGCTATTTCATGAGCTCAGTCAATATAGTGACTGTACGACCAGGGTTCGATCCCCGACGGGGGCAGAGGATTTTTCCTCTTGCCTCTGCGTCCAGACCGATTTTGGGGTCCACCCAGACTTCTATCCAATGAGAACCGGTGATCCTTTCCCGGGGGTAAAGCACGGCTGGGGCTTGCCTCTAACCACTCACCCCATCTAGTGACGAGGTTAAGAATGAGTAGGAGCTATACCCTCTCTCCCCCCAAGCGCCTAGATGGCGTGTAGTGGGACAGCTGTTCTTTGCTTTTACCGGGTCTCTGTTCTTTAAACCTGTTTGACTCATCCTGACGTCCTGACGCTCCATAGTTCGTGACAAACTTAGAAATATTTTGTATAATGTATGATCAATAATTTTCGCTGCTTTTAAATTCGACGAAGTTTTCACATGGGTTAAAATTTCAAGGGTATAATGTTCCAAAATCTCGGAATTGTCAAGTTCTCGACTGATATTGGGTCTCGTATTACATATGGGCCGGTAATGCAGTCATCAACAGTTCCGACCCAGACACAATCTGTGTACGAATGAGAATTCTCTGTGGCAAGTTGGCGGTCCCATGTCGTAAATTACATGTTTAGTAAGAAAAATTTATCGGCCATTTCTCACCCAAGTTTCTCTTGATTCACTACTAGATGGCTCTAGCAGACAAATCAGGATTGAGTAGAAATTGTGCAGAGGCAGTGGGCTTGTCACTCACTACTCACAAATGCACACTTAAGAGACAAAGAAACTTCCCACATGGAAGGACGCCAAGTTCCGAACTTGTGCTGTAGAGCCATTGGATGGATAGATGGAATTTTATGATAGTCTTACAGCTGGATATGTATCGTTTGTATATGTTTATCACGATGTGAAACTACAATAAACTTTTACATCATTATAGTGATATTCAGTTACATACCATAGCAGCTGATTTGTGTTTGGGACCATAATGTTCAGATCGCATGGTAAAATATAATCATAGTGTGGAATTGTATTCTGATATACACCAGTTTTTATTACTGTGGTTGTGAACCTGTGGTCGCAAGCAACTGCAGACCGGGCATCGTCAATTTCCATAGATAACATAAAGTTCTTTAAAAAAATAAATAGCTATAAATCCACTAATTCATCATAAATTGAAAATAAATTGTGTGTGAGAACTCCTGTGCTGGGAAACATGAAAGCTAATAGATATTTTAAAAGCACTTGGAAATAATTTGTGGTGAAAAATCTCGACACTGACACGCGATTTTCAAATTTTAAAAGTTATTATTATATTAAGGTTTGTGATATTTTACTCTTAGTAAATGTCTAAAAATTGTGATATATCGTAAATTACAGAGTTATTCAGCGAAACAGTGACATTTCTATGTGCAGTACGCTTATAAACAATGATTACGTAGTTATTTATACCGTCCTAGATGTTTTAACAGAACCACAATCCTAATTAAACCTTCTACTAAGGGTGAACCAGTAAAGCCGAAGTGTGAAGAAGTATATAATCTCTAAGAAACTGAGGATGCTGCACCCCAGAAATAATCCTGTAGATGCACCAATTGCCACTGAAAAGGAAACACGTCACATAATTTTATAAAATAATCTCGACCAAATTTGTTTTATGTTGTCTTAGCGTAATGTTTAAAAAATAATACTCGCTAAGCTGATTATCATAGAATCATACAGGTAAAGATATGATTAAACCAGGCACGTGGTAGAATTTTCAGTTTAAAACTGACCTATTTTGAATTTTATAAGAGCTTCGTACTTCTCTACAAATTGTAATCTTGTAACAGGTCCTGTGTTCCTAATTTCTTAATTAACTGGTTGCAGGAACAATGCTGTCTTGTAGTAGGGACAGCCACACGTGTTACGATATTTTTTTTTGTAATTACTGATTCTGTATAAAATACATACCTAATACGTCAGTGAACCCAAATATTAGACTTCGCTTTAATCGCATGCGTGGATACTTTGATAGCTTTACTATTACGTTAGTACCCAATTTCCTGGAAAGAAACAATGATAATTTCACAAAAAATCTATATTTTATTAAGAATTGTAAATTTATGTCTAAAATCTTGATAATCGAAGTTAGTATCCATATGTTTGACAATCGGTGAACATTATACTAACATACCCAGTTGTTAGGTTTAATAATATACTAAATCAATAAGCGAACATTTATCTTCACCTTAAATTTTCCTTTGACATTTCGTGTTTCGAACAGAATTTGAAATGTGACCATGTGCAAGTTGATTTACACAAAAATAGGGTAGAAGTAAATTTTTCTAAAAAAATTATAATACCCCGAAAATCACGTGTGTCCATGCCTTAAAATGACATAAATTGTTAATGAATGTGTATAAGGTTTAAATTGTTTAATTAATTTAGGCCGCGTTGCACATACTTTTTCTTCCAACGTAATGAACTTCGTAAGCCACTTACTTTATTAAGCAAAGGTATTTTTCTGAGAATCTGATAGTCGCTGAGCTAGCAGTTTCCATAAATTTTATGAACCAAAAAACTCAGTATTTTGTTAAAATATTTTACTAGAGAACTCTATTCTCTGAGTCTATTTATGCAATTTACAGCCTCAAAGTTCCATTTTAGTTTACCAATTCACGTAAACCTAACGGATCAAAACCCTTCACAGAATTCTTCCGAAAATTTTGTTGTTTTCTTTTCTAATCTCCTTCATGTATGCTACACGTTCTACTCACTCAAATTTCCGTGAATTTGTTTTGACATTACTCTGCAAATAAATGCACATTTATGTACGTACACAAATTCGTAATAGGTTCTAAATGACTTTGATACGTGTCCATGTTATTTCAGCCTGTGTGACTGTGAAGAATTCGCTGTTGTAGAAACACAAATTTAAAGTATTCATTAACGTATGCTTCTTCCAATGAAAGACGTAGTTTTAAGACAGAACCTAGAGCAATATTAAAAACAAGGATATTTTTATGTATATTAACTAACAATGTTGGTATATTTAAATTATTTTACGACGGCCTGGTAAAGCAATTCGAATGAAAAACAATAAATACACAAAACATTTTGCGAATAAGCTGCCCTGACATTTGGAATAAAATAAAAATAAATATTAAAATATACTCTTGGGTAATAAATATAAATAGTGATATGAAATGTATTTAACAGGGAACAGACAGCGACATTTTGTCTAAGGGTTGTTGTAAATTCTTATTTATGAACACAGTATTAGTTAAATAACAGAAAAATGAGGTTTTTGTTATTATGTTAATATACCAGTAGCATGGTTTTGTCGGAATCTAATTATTCACTTTTACGTACCATTCAATATGCTCTTCATAGTCAATGACATAGTTTACATCATCGCATGGCGGCAGACAGTCACATAGTTTATGCTTATCTTCCCTCAGTGATATCAGCGTGGCTGTAAATAAAACTTAAATGTACTATAGAAATCTTTCATTTTAGAATAACCCCAACAATTATTATTTTAACGATTTAAAGCAAAGTGGTCTGTCCCACCTGCTTCAACAATAAATAAATATATAAATTCATGGGTTTCTTACCATTTTTACCATAAACATGTGCTATTGCCCTAAACAATATTAACTAATTGATCTTTTTGAGAAGTACTGTGTTTTCTTTGCGGTACGGTCTAACACGCACACTCCATTAAGCGTTCAGTCTCCTTCCACGCAGCCCTCATTTATAACATATTTACTTAAAATAGGATGTGGAATATTAATATAATGAAACATATTATAAGTAAATATGCCTAAATATGTATTATCTTTATTGATAATTTCAGGGACTTTTGGTACAGGTGTCGGAATGTGTAAGAAACTTATTGCGTTATCACCAATTTACTTTGTTTGTTTTGTGTAAGAAAACATCTGGTTTATCGCCACTCATAACCAATTAATTTCAACCACATAGAGTTAAAAGAATATGTTGTGTAAAGAATTATTCTTACTGAGATAAAGTTGCTTATTTTCTGAGTTCAGTCCTGTTTTCAACCCATATTTACATTTTTAAACCACGACTGGTAGCTCGAGAATAATTCATTATTCGTCTGTTAGGCTTTAACTTATGCTGAACATAACAATTCATTATTCATTTTCTACACTGTCAGGCAGATCTGATATACACGGATTATTGAGAGTTAGTTTTTGTCTTGTCCGTTTTGGATATAACACGATAAGTAAGTGGTTTAAGACACTAATTTTATACATCGCAAGATTTTTTAATGGAGAAAACACCAAATTTGAGTACCCTGAGGACGAGGTCGAAGATGGTTTTCGAAACGTTGTCACTTTCTTTATTAAGCCGTCTTACACGGCTTGTAGCACGAGAAGAATTCATTATACTCATTCGTCATGAAAGCATTTCTTAAAGACCTAAGAAGACTTTTGTACAGTAGCCCCGTGTTTAAACATCACACAGTGCAGACGTAGATGGGAATAAAATAAAGCTTCAAAGTATTTTGAATATCGTTACTAGTGTATGCGTATTGTATTTGGAAATTTAATTAAGAGACTCACTTTTGTAACGTCCCAAACACCTCATGCCTCCAAGGTTGCACACCGGAAATTTTACTGGAAATATAAATAACAAATGTGTATAAATTATTTATTTACAACTGTGTTTTAAGTTACAATGATATTAAGTTAATTATGTTTCGAAGATGGTTGCCTTCTAAGCTGTAGTGCCGTGTAGTTTCTCATCGAATTGATGATGGAGGCAGCAGGGACCTCTAAAACTTTGGTAAACCTCTACATGACTACACAACGCTACAACCCAGGAGACAGACATCTTCAGACTCACCGCCGCCTCGAATTACGTTAACGTAAATTCCTTTCACTTACATTCCACTAAGTTAATATGTATGAAAATATTTCGGCGTGGTTTTCAACACGTATTTATGCCTGTTTTCAGTTGTTGAAATACGAACTCGGTACTGTCGAATGTGAAATATCTAAAGGCCTTCATAAAGTTTCACACTAATGATATAAAGAGAAATAAGTTAGGAGGAGAATACTGCCTGCATCTTCAGTATAGGGTTTAAACCACACGGTTTCACAAACAAATAAACCACAATATGAAACTTTTTTTAAATTTTAGCCTAAATTAGCTAGTGTTAAAGTATATGGAGGAGAATTTTATGGTTATTTCAGAAACAGAAGATATGCTGATTGGTTGATAGATATTTTGAGATCTTGGAGGTAGAGCGGAACACCATATTCTGTTATTTTATATACAAAATTAAAAGACGTTAAAAATGTTTAGTCCTGTGAATAAAAATCCAAAAGTCAACACCGTATTATATCCATCGATTGTAATACTCACCCTTGATTTAGAAATAGATTTTTAGGAAAGAAAACGCTATATTAATTTATAGACGCCATAGAATATAAGACGCATTTCGATTTAAGAAGTTTTAAAATGTAGGAGAAAACGCGTCTAGAAATATACTAAATTTGGCAATTCAACATTTAAGTATGAAAAATAACATCCAATTAGGTTAAAAATTGTAAAAATTGTTACCAAGTCTACAACAGAAAATCAGGTATTGTGTAGGAAGACATATAAGAGTAACATTAATATACATGTAAATATAAAAAACTTCGTTTCTAAAATGTTGGTTGTTTATTTCTTATCTTAAACGTTCTTTAATCGGATTTTAAACATCCTTGGGTCATTGTACTTATTTCTCATAGTACTATAGTAAAGTAAAGTTTGTCCCACTATACGCCATGTAGGCGTTAGAGGAAAAATCCTCCGCCCCCGTCGGGGATCGAACCCCGGTCGTCCAGTCACTATATTGACTGAGCTATCCCGGCTTTCTCATAGTACTATGTCAGAAATAAAGCCAAATTACGTGCTACTTACGTTTGGTTCTGTAGAAGTGAGGTTTGCATCCACACAGGCGTATTGCCTGCTCCATTCTGCACTGCATGCGACAGAGATTGTAGGAGTACACCGGACTAATTTGAAGATCAGACTCTTCCAAGAAACGGCATTTTCGTTGATATATGTTTAATGACGTCACGTCGTCTGTGCTGTATATGGTGAGCGAAAGGACGCTGACTGTCAGCTGGTTACCGTATTTCAAATTTAAAAAATGGCTTGACGAATCTGGTACTTCGTGGGCATTGTGAATATATACCTGATGATGGAATGTTAAAATATGGCTTATTTTATGTTTTAATAAACTCTATGGAGAAAAATCTTTCCTGAGAAGCTAATGGTTGCTCATGAGGTCAAGATACTCACCATAGATGTCTGTATGGGTTTAGGTTGAGTTTGAGCTTGGTTTAAATGATAATTAAGCGGTACATATTCCATTTCAGATTTTCTCGGGCCGTTATTTTTTTTTAAAAAAAATTACTCGTATTTGCGATAATTTTATGATGGTGACACAGTCGGGCTCCGGGGAAAAATACTGGAATTTGTAGGGAATATTCGTACTTACCCCCTCCCAGAAATAGTTCGAAATAACACCTTACAAATTTAATGTTATAACTTTTCATTATTTTAGAGCAACTTTAAATAATTTATTCAAGGATTATTGGAATTTTTACATTGAAATAAAAATACATTAATGATAACGATAGTCAGAGCAGACTGAATTAATCGGGGCTTTGTTAGGGCTACATTAAAAGTCGGTGGGGTAGGAGTAAAATATTTGAAAACAAAATTTAGTACTCGGAAGGGTCAAATGGTCCTCCGGCCGGGTCGGGTAAAATTCTAAAGTATTATAATAACATATGTCAGATGTTAAGATTTTGTTCATCCAAGGCAAAAGTAAATTAAACGAATATTATGCTAAGAATTGCAGTATATTTGCAATGAATAAATGATCCGGAACTCTTATATAATCATAAGATGGGTAAATATTTCAATATTGATACCTTTGCTACTCCTCTAATTAAACCTGAGTTATAAATACCTTTGATCCCGAATTCATATTCGTAATTTGTAAGCTGATTTCTCCGCTGAGTGGATTTCCATATAACTGTACGTCTTTTTTCATTATGGTCCAGTTTTTATTTTGCCAGTATCTGAAACGAATAGGATATAAAGTAGATGAAAGACTTTTGGGTTACAAGTCTCGTCATGTGGCTGAATGGTGGATAAACCATATCTTCTAATCACCATCCAGCCACATGACGAGACTTGTAACCCAAAAGTCTTTCATCTACTTAAGTCACCGCAAAATCTTCACTTCATACAGGATATAAAGTAGTTTAAGCATTTTTGTAACATAAATACAAGCGTATAATTTGATCTGAAATTCAACAGAGTTGTAATTGTATTTGAAATTGAATGGACTTCTGTCCTTACATTAGTTTTGTTGTAAGACAATGTACGTTCTAAATATCTTCTAAGAAGATTAATTTGTTTCATTCCCACATCGCTCAAAACTTCCTTACTTTAGTCATGCGTATATAAATTATGTAGACGTAAAAGATTTCTTAAAAAATCAGTGGGCTTATGTAAACTTGAAGATGGCTGTCTTCTGGTAGAAGTTTACCAATTGCCCTCTTGATGGAGAATTTCTTACGTGTCTTTGTCATTGTAGTAAGTAGTTTACTTAGGTTTATACAAATAAAAAAACCAGTTAGTCGACCATAGATACTTCTCAGTTGTCCTCAGTTACATGTTTTCAAATCAGTGGAAAATCCAATCCTATTAGCGGTAAGGAAGTTAAAATTTATGCCATCCCTGTTTCACAACAAACACCCTTACACTTTGATGTATTACATTGAACAGTTTTATATTAAACTTAGTTATTTCTTCGGGGTTATGAACACAGGTAATTTATATATTATTTCGACAATAATAAACACTGTCTACATAGTATTTCAGCAGAACACAACTTACTCTGGTGAATTATAAATGGCGATATTTGATAAATATGTGTAACACAGTCCCATCTCTGTGATAGTCTTTGTAAAATGAACGTCAAAATTCGACTTGTGGGTGAGTTCAAAAGAATTCTGCAACAATAAAAACATAAATATCGAATAAGTTTAAATTTATTTAATTTTAATTGTATATTTTCATTATTCTATAAATGAATAGTTGAAGACAGTGATCTTAAATATTCGGTCAAATATACATGATGCTTTATACTGACAGAAAAGTGCTTTTAAAATTCTAAATTAATATTTTATAAAATTTTGAATATGCTGTTACTTAAGAATACGTTTAATATGGGATATTTTACGATACTTTACAACTTCAGTAATCATGTATAACGATTACCATGAACGAGCAGTGAAATATTATCATAGTCCCTGAATTTTACCAAATGAACTAAGAAAAGAAAACAGGGAACGTTATAACTGCAATTCCTATGACTTATTCTCGGTTATTAAACTGCATATGCTAAGTAGCATTCAATGGTAGGATATTTTGTATTTCACATCCAACCATTGTTTGTCTGCACTGGTCACAAAGAAGACCTTGATAAGGATTAGATTATGCGTAAAACATGGAAAAACATAATGCAACACTTCTTTCGTATTCGAGAGGTCCCCTGTTCAAAACTCGGCCCGGAGACCGGCTATGCTGACTGGGTTTTTCGTGATTTTTCTCAGTCAATCTCCAGGCAAATGCCAGGACAGTATCTTAAATTAGGCCACGACCGCTTCCTTCCACATCCTTTCGAATTCATTATTAACTATCATCATCACATTCGACGCTATATAGTATGAGCTACTGGAAAAACGTCGTTAAATAAACTTTGAATAAATAAATAAATAATGTAAAGAAAGTAAATAAAAAGCAATGCTTACATTAATGATTACTTCCATGTATTGTTCGGGAGAGAATATTCCCTCTGAAAGACCCGGTTCGAGCTCATCAAAGTTTTCGTATGAGGCAGAGACAAGATTTTTTATGAATTTGTAGACGTCGTCACTCTGACTTTTTCTGTAAAAAAGTATATATTACTTGTGTAGTTATAGTTCGTATTGGTAAATGAATAGAACACTTAAACATCTCGTGTTTATGTCCCTTGAATTTGCTTATAAATTAAACCCTTAAAATTATCAGGTGTGGTCATGACACAAAATGCGGCAAGTAACCCTGGAAACGCCGAAGAATAATGACATCACACGAAGGTACAGAGAATTAAAGAAATCTGTGGTAAATTTTCAACGCCAAATGAAGAGTCAAAGTAAGCATATTGTATAATAGGTAGCATAAGGTTTGTTAGTATTGGGTTAGGTTGGGTTGGTTTCGGTAAGGAAAGCCTAGGTTAGGTTAGGTTAGGTTATGTTAAATTAAGACACGAGAGGTTGAGTTAGGTTAAACTGTGGTTGTTTGATTGGGATAAATGACTGGGTGGCTCGCGTGTAGCCAATCTACTGCTGAAAGCAAATCTCCATGCACGGTGGAACCGCTGAATAGGTTAGGGCCCCCTTGGTGTTTCTGGGCCCCCAACGATTGCGAGACCTTTGTGGGGTGGAGCCCTAAGAAATGCGGATGCACTTTATAGGTCGAAGTCCATTGATTTGAGCGGAAACCCTCTCTTAAGTTATGTAGCGTTAGGTTAGGTTAGGTGAGGTTAGGTTAGTTGAGGTTAGGTTAGGTTAGGTTGTGCTACTTCGTATTTTTAACGTTTACAACAAATTAGTTTTCGAGGGCTAGAATATTTAGAATTCAAAATTTCCAAATAAAGCGTTTTGGAATTTTGTGTATGCCGATACGGATTACACCTTTAAGTCTTGATGTCTGTTCTAAACAGATTGATTGTTACATTACGCTTTTGCGGAAATATTGTTGTATTTCTGTTGAGGGCAGATGGTAACACTGGGAAATGAAGTGTTCCAGTCCTTGTACTCTCGTTCCATTGATACGACTGTCGGATTGCTCTGATAACGTCTCCACGTTGACACCCCAAATGACACCGCGCCAACTATGCCAGCGGAAATGAAAAGTAACCACAAGACACTGAAACAGAATTTCGTAGACATGTCATTTAGTACGTGCAATTGACAGTGGTTATAGTTCATTCTTTCATAATTACATATCTGAGTGGCATTTCTGATTACGTGTTTATCTCTTTCTGTGCCATAAACAAAATGTCTACACCAATGTGACCAGTGCTGCTCCAGAAACCTTGAATATGGCGTAGGATAGATCGATCACGCTGAAAAAAACTTTGTCACCTGCAGTAATTCGGAGTACTCAAGAGTAATTTTCAGGAATTCATTTATAAAGGGTTTTGACGACGGTAGTTTACACTTAAAATTATTTGTTGTCAGGACTTTTTCCATCATCCGTTTTTAAAATTCACGACGTTTCGGAGGCTGGTTCTGTCTCCGTCTTCAGGTGAGAGGTACCTACTCTACTGGACCAGTGACAGAGACTAGCTCTTTCTAAGGGACCCAACAGAGTAGGTACCTCTCACCTGAAGACGGAGACAGAACCAGCCTCCGAAACGTCGTGAATTTTTAAAACAGACGATGGAAAAAGTCCTGACAACAAATAATTTTAAATTTTTAGAAAGTTTCAAAATCAGGTTTTATTAGATTACGTTTCACGTAATTTTAAATTTTATTATTGGTGTGAAACATTACTTAGCAACAGAAATATTGATTACCCAATAATTCGATTTATTATTTTATTGATTTTTCTCGTGCTTGACGTATATGTTAAATAATTTATTTACCATTATCTTTCTCCCATGTTACCACTTAAGGAATAAATATACATTTATAAGTTCATATTTTAAAATATAAACGTTTAAAATCTTAGTTATGAATTATTTGTTTAAAAAAACTGTTGTACGTTAGTAAAACATTTGAATTACACACCGTTCCGTAGGAGTTCGCTTCTTTGCTATTAAATGATTCAGTCCATGAATTGAAGAGTTCTCCAAAAACATCAGACAGTACATGTACACAGCTTTCATGATTTTCTTTGCAATATTTGAACTCTTACTGTGAATCTTTGAATTGTTTGATCGAACAAACTGGTTAGAATCGATCGACCACATAGGCGTTAATCTTTTGATTCTGAAATCCATAACACCTGTCTGTCGCAGATTTATTTTCTGTGATTTACGTTTTATCATCTCTTCTGTTGTTCTTTGACGTCTGATATTTATTAAATGTGAATAAATCTGTCAACAGAAACAGAACAGAACACGAGCAATAAGATTTCAGCTTGCAAACCAGAGAGTACATTTAACTGAATAAACAGATTATACTAGTCGTGTGTTGTCTGAGGTATATTTAGTAAATAAAAGTTTCGATAGTTGATTTTATTCCATATGCTGGTGTTTGTTTATTATCGAATTGACACTCACGTAAAAATGAAAATAAGTCCATATCGTCGTAATATAAATAAAGTGTTGGTTATAGACATTTTTTAAGTTGCGTTCATTTGTTGCTTTAAAACTAAATAAATTTAATGAACTTTGTTATTTTTCTCACTGGCCATTAAATTTTAAAACTTAATTAATAGAACAAAACACTGCGAGATTCGTTCGCAGAATTTTTTATTCTTACCTTTGAAGTTTAGATACGTTGTAATTGTTTGTTTATTGTATGTGCATATAAAATCTTACGTGCAGATGACTAAAGCGTATTTATCCTCCATTCACTTACATCAGGATACATCTGAATAGCTAGTATACACAGAAAGGAATAAAAATTCTCTCGCACGAATAACACAACATTATTCAGAAATATAATAATAAATACTACGGTTTCATAAGTCGAGGCTTGTATGCGCAGTAGCACATTTATGTATGGGTGAATTCCAACCAAAGTTTAGTTTCTAGAACTCTTTTCACATCAGAACTCAAGGGACACGTGAATTATTTATTATAAAGTTTTATGTATTAAGCCCATGAATTTGTTACACGTAGCCTATTTAGACCTACACAGTTATGCCCTATTTGCGTGTGTGATATTTCATTTGTCGACGCTTTGTGAAATACTAGAAGCTAGGTTTTTATTTATAGGCCTACAAAAAGGTTGAGTAGCTGTAAAATGAGAAAAATTATAATTTGAATTTGTTCCAAGGCTGATTAAATGAAAATTATATGGGTCGAACAAAGATGAAATTAGAATTGTATATTGTGAACGAACGTGGGACGGAGGATAATATTAGTATAGACAGTGTATAAATTGGTTTTAAAAATGGAAACTCGTTTTAGATTGCTCAGAATATGGTAAAATGGCGGACTCTTGAGATGACTGTGACGAAGTTACTAGTTTTATATGAAAAACATAATTATTAAACTACTGAATTATTATTAACTACTAAAGGATAAAAATAAACACATCATGGAATTCGTGAGAAACAACTACAGATATATCAGAAATATTGAAATATTTTTGTTGTATGATTGGCAACCCTGGTCATGATTCAAGGTCATTTAGTGATATGCCGCGAGTGTGGTTCTATTCTATTCCTTGAGTCAGCATGACGTAAAGGTGACTGCTGGTCTATAGTTTGTTGTTTCTCTTTAGGTCTCTGTTGCATTGCTGTGATACGATGTTATTTCTGCATAACAGTGTTTTTCAGCAGAAATTGGTCTCTTGTCCGAGTGCTGTACAATAATGACCTGCTGTCATGCAGGTTGCCTACCCACATAGGAGGAACGCCAGAGACATCTGTGTTAAGTTTAACAAGACATTCTACATTAAGTAAAGCTATAGTAGATTCGTTACCGCGCGTCTCGTTTGAAACGGCTTCAGACGATAAAAATAACTATTTAATGGAAGCTCGTAAATAGGGACTTCGTGTCAACCCCAGTTTCAAGCCTGAGTTACCACATCGGTAAACATCTACCAGACTACAGATGACACCCGTCTCCACACTCGTTGCCGCGGGAACCAAAAATCTTACGTATTAGAAGTTCGTTGTTGACTAATAGATGGCAGCAAGATAGCTGTTTCTGAGACGTAACAACAGATGGTGCTCTTGGTTGAAACAGCTGTGCATGTGTGTGGTTTTGTGTATATGGTGAAATTAAAAGTTTTGTGACATTGCGTTTGGTTTTGTGCATTTTATATTATTTGTTCACTGGAATGTGCCACGCGGTCGATGTATAAACGATGTGGACTATAATTTAATTTCATATGCCCCTTTTTTGTTCCGTAAAATACCATAAAATGCACCAATAACTGACATTTATAGGGATGAATCTACACCAGCTTTGAAATCGTGCTAAAAGTGTGAGAAGGTATGTGTGTTTTGTGAAGTTTGTATTCTCAGGTATGATGAAAATAAAATATTATATATTGTGGTTACATATAACTGCTCTTGCTAATGAGAAATATTAAGATTAATAAAGTCTTGTAGTCTGTGCTGCACTCTTAACATGGTATTTTATGATGTGGTATTTTTAAATGTTAGACACTTGTATTTGGAGGTCTATGAAAGAGTTGTAACTTTCAATAGTTCTGTTTTCTCGGTTAATCCAAATTGTAGTAATGTATAATTACTTTAAATACATAGTAATATCTGCTCAAAACAAGTCTGCTTATTTTGTTACATATCAGTGTTTAAACTCTGTGCTTCCTGATGTAGTTTAGATTGGCATGAAGTATCTACAGCTTGTCACTGCAGTAGCAATAAAAGGTGTTATATGGATGGTTGAGAATCCAATGAGTGTAACTCGTTGATTTATTTTGTGGTGGGGGCGGTTGAATGTTTTTATGATACTAAAACTATTTTATGCCAGCAAAAATCATATTATAAATTAACATTTTCGTAAAATAATTCTTGTAGTTACGTTTGATGTCAATTTCAGATGGCTAAATTAATAAAATTATTCATTTTATGAATTTCTGTGGTGTAGTGTAGTTAACACATAATTCTTGTAGGGGTTATTTATTATACTAATGTAGTCTGCTGTATAGCAATGGATTTAGTGTAATATTTTAATATTCTTTTATATTCTTTGTTTGTGAAAATTAATTAATATATTAAGTTGTACTCATCTATATGTTTTGTGTTTTAATTACTTGTTTCAGATCCTATACTCAGACTGAATAACTTTTGTATTCATTGAATGGCTATATTTATATATGTTAAATGTCTTAACACATTGGTTTCTGAACTGTTTGTATGTAATAAGATTTCACTTGTAGATTCACACTCGTCCAGTGTCCTATGTTGTAATCTTAATCTGTCTTGTTGATTTTAATTGAAAAAAAACAGGAAATGAGGATGTATTCAATGTATTCAATATATTGACATTATCTTACATTGAAAGCTATTCCCATTATATATAACTATCAGCGGAGCAGAGTCCTCTAGCCGTTAATGTCCTACTGAAAAAATTCTGCCTGTTGTGGAACCTAAATGTTAAATATAAAGTTCACATATCCTGGGCCAGATGAATCCAGTCCACATTCTCATAACTGATTTTTAAGGATACATTATAATTTTGTCCTCTCTCACTGGGGTCTGTTCCTTTCAAGTTTTCTTGATACATTTTTGTATGCATTTCTAGTATCTCCCATGTGAGCAGCAAAACGGAAGTGATAGGAAGTAAATAATGTATATTCGAAGATGGTTGTCTACTGGGCTGTAATGTAGCCTAGTCTTTCATTACCTTGTTGATGGAGGCAGCAAGGACCTGTGAAACGCTGGTAAAGTTCTACCAGACCGCTTGACGTTACAACCAAGAAGACAGCCATCTTTGTACTCGCAACCTTGAGAACCTCAAATCTGACATAAGGTAGTTTTTGTAATTTAATTTGATTTATGTATTATTGTAATGTTGAATAATTATATCGTGACTTTTCAGTGATGAGTCAAGTGCTTATGCCAGAAGGACAAATCAAAATATTTTTGTATTTGTTCTAATAATATAAAATAGTGGGATATATTTCATGCATGTATACAGATACAGATGCTATGTTTAGGAATATGATCGCTAACAATGCAAATTTGTAAAATAAAATAAGCGTAAGACATTAGTCACCTGTAAATCGGTATTTTATTATATGCCCTTCTGGCATAGTACCTTCAAAATGATTAATGGTGACCTTGATTCTTCTACAGCAGATTTTGGTCTGTTCGACCATTATCAGGAAGGTATTTGGGGTATTGTTTTGGTACCGCCATGTAGAACTACATGCTGGGCTGGTGAGATATGATACACTTTGCATCTGCGTAAACATAATGGCTTCAGAACAGAAGACCTGCATTTTAATAGCCTATGAATTTGTTTCAGTATCGCTGAACAACCCACGACTCATCAGATTATTGCCGAAGTGATATTTATTTTTTGAACCATTGTTCACATTTCAGATTTACTCCCTTTGAACGTTTTATTAGGTCATAATATGTTCTGGTAGAGGAATACAAGTCATGATATATTTATGAAACTCATAAAAGAGGAAGTCGTCTCAGGAAGCTCAGATAGAAATCTTTATATTGACTAATTACTGTTAATTTTCAGCATTTTGTCAGATGTCGTAGATATGGTGAATAAATATTTTCTTGACAGGTTTTTGGGGGCCGGTAGGAGCAGGAGGCATCCAGCAGGAAGGGGAAGGACATGAAAGAGAGTGAGGTGCGGGAAGCAGCCCTTATAATGGGCCTTCGGAGTCCAGCGGGTGGATCACCAGATAAGGGAAGTGGTTCTTATAGTCATGTATTTTCTTCAGGTGATTGAAGGTGTTGACTATAAAGAAGGAAACACCATGACGGGGAAGAGAGACGATGTCAATGCCTTTCGGCCAAGTGCTCCATATTCTACGGGCACTATACCAAGACATGGTAACAAACCACCAGGAGCTGATTTTGAGGGTGAGTGACTTAAGATATTTTTTTAATTGCATTTACTCAGGTACTTCTGCAGTTAGGTTGCAGGCTGATTCAATTTCACTTTGTAAATGTATCTAATTTATGTTAGGGTAGCGTGTTAAATCTAGAGTTTTTGTTATAATGCCGGCTTTACCGTTATACTGCATCCTGTTTTTGTGAATGAGATGTAATAAAGGAAATATTGCTGCTAAATTTCAGAAGCAATTAAAATGAGCCATATTATCTTTATATCACATGTGGAGAAAATTAATCATATGAAGGTTTAGTCAGCCGGGGTAGCCTGGTCAGTATAGTGACTGGCTATGGACTGGACGACGAGGGCAGAGGATTTTTCCTCTAGCCTCTGCATCCATACTGGCTCTGGGGCCCACTCATCCTTCTGCCCAATGGGTACCAGAATCCTTTCCCAGGGGCAAAGCGTGACCTGGGGGTGATGCTGACCATTCACTCCCAATTGTATACATCGCGTGTGTAGGACAGCTTTAATTTTTACTTTTATTAAGGAACCGCTGAGTGTCACTCGATGGGGCCCCCTTCTAAGGGGTATATAATTTTCAACTGCAATTCTAAGTGCAAACATACTTAGAGTACTCTGGGTGACCATTTATCACTAATTCCCCATTACGTAACTTAACATGTTGATGCTCATCTAAAATAAGTGAGAGATAACAAATGAAACTCGGGTGAAGAAAATATAATATCGATCATTATCGAAGTTGCTTCGTCTCAGCATTGTCTGAACTCTAATTCAGTCCATGCCGAGATAAATATCAGTGGTACCTGGTGAACTTTATAAATAACAGCACTGCTAAAAATGTGTTTTCTGCAGATAAAATTGTTTGTACACGATCAGATTCTGACAGGGAAACTTTAAACCAGAATTAAAATGATTAAGAAATGGCCGACGAGTAAAAGGACAAAAAAAAGAAAGAAACACGTTTCCCGCGCATTTATAACCTCATCAAAGCAGCATAAATAATACAGTGATAATATAAATTATAATACTGGCGATTACCTTTTGTTAGTTAATAGAAGGTTATTGAAATGCATGTGGTAGATAAACAATTACGTGTTTTCTTTCGTGTATACCCATTTTTGTTTGTTCTTGGTATGACTTCAAGGAATTTTTGAAACACGTTTGATAATATACGAGGTGCGATCGGAAAGTTTCAAGACTGCGCCTATAAAAACCCGTACACTTATCTCAGGTATTAAATTCATCCATCACCCTCGAAGTAGTTCCCCTGGGAGTGACCACAACGATCCCAGCCCCGCTGCCAAGCCTGGAAGCATCCCTGGAAATCTTTCTTTGCCAGCCTGTCAAGCACCATCTGCGATTCTGCCTGAATCTCTTCTATCGTCTCAAATCGCCTTCCCTTTAGCTGAATTTTCATCTTTGGGAAGAGGAAGAAGTCACACGCAGCTTAGGAAGGAAGTTGCGGTCGGTTCTTGCAAGATCGTTGAGCTCCTGACAAACGAGAAGTCAAGGCGATTCTGCTTCTGGTCCTCAGACAGGAACCTTGGCACAAACTTGGCTGCGATGCGTCGCATGTGTAGGCCGCACCCCCTAGCGGCAGAAGCTCGTACTACATCCGGTTCGCCCTCTATTGACACAGTCTTGAAACTTTCCGATCGCACCTCGTACAACTGCACAGTTTAAACGAGTATTTGGCGGACATATTGGTGTCTTTGTTCAAGAAAAACATTCGGTACAGATAATTGCAATTAATGTAAGGTAAATTTACAAACGTACAGATACAAGGAGATCGCGAATAATTGAATTGTGACACCAGCTGTGTGCTTACATCACTTCCGGTTTGGGACGTGGAAAATTTCAAGCACGTGATTTCTGTTGCACAGAATATATATATTTTGCAGCAAAGAAGCAGCGTTCTTTACTGTACTAATAAGCCTAACGTATGGATGCATTTGTTTGATCTAGGTTACATGTGTTTATCATTGAATTTAGACCATGGATAAGTCAAGGTTTACTTCGATTAAATAATAATGGCCTTGTGTGCTGGTCAGAACATTTGAGATTTGGTGAAATTTATGTTCGCTCTTGCGATGGGGGTAATACTGGTAGCCTGCCACGGTGGTCTAGCGGTTAGAACGGTGGCCTTGTAATCCTGTGGTCTCGGGTTCGATTCCCGGCGGTGCCCGAATTTATAACTTGTGTTGGGCAAGGCCGTGGTCTAGGCAACACGGAGTTTTCCTCCGTGGCATCCCAACAATTACTCCATTCACACACAGAAGAAGGCAAGGGCAAACCACTTCTGGATCATCTGCCAAGAACGCATATGAACAGGTCCCAGTCCGAGAAAAAGATGGAAGGATCCTGTTCATATGGACCTGTCATCAGACAGAACACTAAATAAAAAATAGGTTAGAACGCTAGGCTTGTAATACTGGGGTCTCGGGTTCGATTCCTGGCGGTGCTCAGATTTATAACTTGTGTTGGGCAAGGCCGTGGTCCAGGCATCACGGAGATTTCCCCGGTTTCTCCGTGGCATCCAAACAATTACTCCACTTTCGTCATCATCTCGCAAAAAGGGGGTCACGATCGAACCCATGTACTGATGGGTCGTGAATCCATGCGGAGCTGAGTTCTGGTTTCAGATAAATACATTGTGACTGTGCAAGATTAGAAGCTTTTATGAATTCTTTGTAAGTTCCGTCAAGATATCGTACAAGACTTTTCCAGTCTTTGAGCAGAAAGAAAGCATATGTGAAGGAAGTTATAAAATATCAGTTTAGTTTCTTTCACTCGATGATTGGTTTACGTTTGTGGTGGAGCAAATTTAGACTGCGTCGTGTGCTTCGTGTTTTGTCAAGTGGTCTCACTCTCCCTTGTACGTTTATGCGTAGACTTTTTAAAACTGAATAATATCCACAGTATTATATACTTATAATTGTTTAATTTTAACCGTCTAATCACAATAAAATATTTTATTAAATATTAGAATATTATTACTATAATTAACATTTAATATTTAAAATATATACTTAATTTTACTATTTCCTAAATTTTTCTTTTGCTAAATATTAGGGTGACGCAGTGAAGGAACATGGAGAATTCTGTGGCTTAGATGGGAGGATAATGTTAAAGTTGATTACAACGAAACAGAGTATATGTACTGAGCGACTGTAAGCTTGTCAAGAGGGACAACGAAACAGAATATATGTGCTGAGCGACTGTAAGCTTGTCAAGAGGGATTCTATTTACGGAGCTAGTTAATGATTTTGAATTTGTTTGTTCACTTTATCGTGTCTGCTGGAAGGATTTCAGAGACGCCACGAATATTTAAGATGCTGATGAATTTGGAAGTTTACAAAAAAAAAAGTTCATTTTGCAGGCATATTTTTGTATGTGTTTAACTCGACAGACGTGCAAAAATCTTCTTACCAATTTCCATACATGTTATATTGATGTAGCGTTAGAAACTGGTATTAGAATTAGGCATATATTTAGCGCTTAGTTCCTTGCTGATAGCTGTACTAGAATTCAGGAGGTTTATTTTGATTGGATTGTTTTCAACATGTGTTACCACTTGATCGTAAGCTTTAAAACTTTTTAATGATTTAAAGCAATGCAGTATTAACGTAATCAGGAATATATTACGTCTGGTTTTAAATATACAGGGAATGGCAAGTTATTTTGAATTATATTTGCTGCAACAACTTTAAAATGCCGTTGTACTTCGTTCTCGTTTTTGACTCTCGCGAAAGAGTGATAAATACGTCCGTGAACGTACGGATGCATTTGTTTGATCTTCGGCCAGTAGGCTGTTAGAACGCAAGAGACCGCGGGCTCTCTCAGTGTTACAAGGAGCGTAGTTCGTGATTCATCTGTTCTCGGGGAATCTAGTAACCGAATTTTAAGTTGCCCTCTCGTTTTAAAATGTCTAATCGGCGAAGATGCAGTGCGTATACTTTCCCAGTTTCATCGCTACGACGTGGAAGTAGCAAAGGTGATGTAATTTAAGGTTTTTTTAAAACCCTTTGTATGTCAGTGGTAGGGACTTTATAAGCAGTAACGAAGTGTTCTTATGGTTTTAACCTTCTAGCAGGTTAATAGAGCACGAATGCCAGGGTTAATCAAGACTGTGTGTCTAAAACATAGTTTGTTGTTAGTATTTTGTAGTGACGTGTGTATTTCTACATGGCCTTAGGATTGAATGCATCTTCAGTCAGAAGTTTATTGTAGATATTTTACAGAATATTATTTTGTGAAATTTGATGTTTTTACGTTGGGTAACATGAAGAAGAAACCTGACGAAAACTATTTTTGATTGTTATTTTATTTACTTTTGACTTAAAATTTATTAGGTGTAGATCAGTGGTATTCAACCTGGGGTACGTGAAATTTAAAAAAAATTATATTATTTTATGATAAACACTGAATAATCAGTAATTTAATTTATTTTAGATGTAGATTATATACTATGTATAACTTGAATTATACACCAAAAACTTTGGGGTACAAAGTTGAAGAGAAATTATATCTGGGGGTACGCGAAGACATCTTACGGCGTACGTGAAATTTAAAAAAATATATATTATTTTATGATAAACACTGAATAATCAGTAATTTAATTTATTTTAGATGTAGATTATATACTATGTATAACTTGAATTATACACCAACAACTTTGGGGGTACAAAGTTGAAGAGAAATTATATCTGGGGGTACGCGAACAAAAAAGGTTGAATACCACTGGTGTAGATTATATCTGTGTTAAATTTGTCAGTTATAATCTTCAAAATTTCGCACGTTTTTAATTAAACAATACGTAATATATAATTTGCATAAATGCTTAAATTCTGTTTCGTAATAAATTTAGTATTCTTATGTACAACGATCTATTAGTTATCACTGACTGAAACGCAGTGAATCTTTCGGATGGCCGCCATGTTGTTGATTTACGTTCTGCGTAAAAATTACCAGGTTAAAAGTTGCCTGCTTGCAAAAATCCAATACC